TCCATCACAAATTTCACTCCAATCTAAACATGCTACAGAAGGACCACAATTACATTGTAAATGAATATAACAGGTGAAATTAGTAGACTTATATTCATAATTACGATAATAATCATGAATAATATCATATAAAGATAAATGATTTTGATGATAATAATTAACTTTATATTGCCACATAGAATCAAATCTTGGTAATGTACAATTATAGAAAACTTTTGTTTCCAGTGATCTATTATTTGATGTTAATAATTGATTTAAGTAGAATTGATAACGTTCAGCAACATCTATCGGCGCTGACCAAAGGTACAGTTGTTGACTAGTAATGTTCGATTTGGAAGGTTCAGCAAAAGTAAACTTTGGAAAAATATCATTGTTTTCAATATGAAATTTCCATGGAGATTCACTCATACAATAAGATATAATTTCACGATTAACATACGGTTTATCTGGAGAAGCAGCCACACGCAAGCAATCGTGTTGTAAGATATTATTACTTTCACCTTCACTTATTCAATTTGTATAATGAAGATTGATTCGAGGTGTAGCAATAATCAAATGTAAGATTATGAAATTAAATAGATAAATCAGTATTTATAGAGTTCATATTTATGTTATTAGCTTTTTTATCTTTTCCTTTTCTTCATGAACGTCATTAAGAATTGTTGACATCATCGAAAATTATGATAACATATGCACAAAATCCTTGCTTCTTGCTTGATTGAAGTAGACTCCACAAGAAGCCTGAAAAATATGTGAATATGTATATTAGTTGATGATCCTTTACTATCATTAGTTATTAAGCGATGAACAACTGTAGATTTAATTAAGCTCTTCACTCTTTACAGTTTCTTCTGTAGTTTATAGGTCTTCCAACAGATTTTTAAAAAATTAAATGATATCTAGTAACATAAAATGGATGCCATAGCAAAAGTAAAGAATTTCCAATGAATTTCAGTCAATAAATCAATTATAAAATGAGCATTATTGATATAGGTACTATACAACTGCAGGTATAAGCTGACGAGTTGATTGACGGCGGTGACTTAGGCTGTGGGTATTGTGAGAAGTTCAGTAGCACCAACAACCACACCCAGCCATCCACACTCTACTTTTATTATTTCAGACACAGATTATTACTTTTTCGTACATATAAACAAACGAAAAGATTAAGAAGTAAATTCATGATTCAAACATAAACAATAACAAGTAAAAAAAAACACTTTCGATTTGCACATTCATGTATTTGTGGCGACCATTCAGCCGCTCGGCTTACATATCTATATACAACAGTGGTAAGCAGCTGAAAATCCAAAATGAATTAAAGAGCAGTGATGTTTGTTGATTTTTATAAATAGAATTTGAAGGAAATAGCTTGATTAACATAAGATAATATTTGTTTCATAATATATTTACAAATAAGAAAACAAGGTCATGTTGCTTTATCAATATTAACTCTTTAATCTATTAACTAATGAACAGATGTTTGTGCTAATGCATAAAGTCGACACAAAGGCAGCAGCGGCTAAATTTATCGTCATTTTTTCTCTACCAGTGACAGAACTACAGAAACGTTATGCTCCGACGGCCGAAAGTGCTCAAGTCTCTTTTTGTCTTTTTGATGCTGCTGTAGCTGGAAATTTTCGAGAGATTTCGAAATGATATCGGTATTATATAGGGTGCCCAATAAGTAACTCCACAAAGAAAAAGTTGAATATCTCCATTACGGC